CTCTCTCTCTCTCTCTCTCTCTCTCCCCCCTCCCCCCCCTCTCTGCCCCTCTCTCTCTCTCTCTTTTCCTCTCTTCGGGAAACGAAGCGCGCGTCGCACGATATCGCGTCGGCTGGGATACTCGCGGCGCAATTGCCGCGAATGCAACAAGAGTGTCTTCTTCTCCTTATCGCGTCGCGCTCACCGAGTCTGTTTGTCAACGGTGATTTTTCACCGACGAACGCGAGGCGCGTAATCGTCGCTCCCGCAACGACCTCGGCGAGACTCGCGCGCGTCTCCCGCGAACATGGCGGTTCGGTTTCGAAGTCTCTCAGAACAGCCTTGCATAGAATCTATTCACGCGGGTCGGATTAACTATACGTTTTCCCCTATTGATCGTATTGTAACGTGATTTTTGCGCGATTAAAATTGCAACGGTGTTTTCACGGCAATCCATAACGCGGCTGATCGATCTTACGAAAGGATAGCCTTCGCCCCGGAATTAATTAAACAAGATTGATGTACATACGCGCGATTGACCCGAGATTCCGCCCGCTCATTCCGCTTTTCGCGAACAGTACTTCCGGTAATCTCAGGCTAATATTATGCTACAGCCAATCAAGAGACTTGAAAAATTTATCCGAGTCACGATGTAACATATCTCTCATTCGTTTAATATATTTTTCTCTATTAAAATAAATTTCTCTATTAAAATAAAGGCATCAAAAATAGCTTCAACCGAATATATCGCCTTCCTTGTTTATTTGAATAAACTTACAATTAGTATTCATTCAATTTTATACGACTTAAATAATTTTGAAATTTATTCAGCTCTTGAAATTAATTAGTGCCTTTAAACAACGTAAATTAAATGAACCCAGCATCAGTAACTGCGTTTTTTTTAAGGTAATTTTCGAAGGGATAAGTTATATTGTATCGTACATGTTTTTCGAATTCTTGAATATCTTTCATATTTTATAAGTAGAACTAAGAAACGAGGACTTGAAATATCGGAATAATACATACTGTATTTAAATATTAAGTACTTATATATATTTCAAGTATTTGGAACGTTTATATAGCCATAAATCTATCATAAGTCTATTAAAAACATCAAATTTGTTTAAAATATATTCTAAATCTTAATAAATTTAATATTTGTATTAAAACTATTAATAAAAAAAATTTGATTCGCTTGTTATACAAAATCATTTCTTCAATCAAATTATAGTATTTTTTAAAAGAAAATAAATTTTATGTTATAAGTACATAATAACAAATTTTTTTCTAAAATTTGTATATCAAATGTATTAAATATATTTTAAGACTATTATCAAGAAAATATTCTCTGTTTAAAATTGTTTTTTTTCAAAAAAAAATTAATCGCTTTTCTTAGCAAATAGAATAATATTTTTCTGTTTGAATCTGAATTGCTTATAAATTCAAATAGTGCATATGACACATTTAAGCATATGACACATTTGATTTTAGTTTTAAAATATTCATCGATCATTGTGTATTTTAATAATAAGTAGGCGATAATGAATTTAAATAATCGAATCTTGATATCTTCTAAATAGAATTATTTAACTCAAATATTTCTAGCATTTATAAAACACACATTCTAAATATCAGATTTAAATTTTTGTAATTCTGATTAATTTATTGTAAAACCATATCTTTATACATACGATATATATAATTTATATATATAATTATATATATAATATATATATAATTTATATACATGTATATAACTTAAGCAGAAAAGTCGTTATGATCAAAATGGCGTCTAAATGGCTTCAAAACGATTATTAAGTCACTTCACAATTCATTTTAATTTCATTTTGACTTTATTTTATCGTGACCTATTATTCTGCTTGAAAAACGTTTATTATGCGCGACTAAAGAAAGATAAAACACTAATATTCACACTAATACAGTAACATTTACCATTGTTATTCTTTTTTAACTTAGTTTCTTTAGCTTGCAAATGATGTTTACTGTAAGTCTGACGTGAAGTCGCAACTGCGTTATTTTCTTTTAATAGTTTTATTAATATAATCATGTTATTCTACCAATATTTTTTTAATTCTTTTATTTATGCCATGAACAAACAAGTTTACTAAGTCATTTATCTCGATAAATATGTTAACATTTACAGCAAATATCTTGCATTTTATTTTATGATTTAAAGATGTCTATTGTAATATACTAAATTTTGATAGGAATTATAAATTTAAAGACTTTAGAAATCATACGCTATATATCTTTTCTAGAAAAACATATAAGAACAAAAATCTATTAATTTTAAAAGAGCAAAACGATAAAAATTTATTAAAAAATAAATTCTTATACACCGTTGGATATCAAAGGAATAATGGTAACCTAATTCCTTGGATCAAATAACATTTTATTATTTTTAACCTTCATGTGTATCAAAATGTAAATCAATTCATCTATGATTGAATTGTTTAGTTTCAAAATAAACAACATTTATATTAATATGTGCACTTAGTAAACAATAAACTGAATGTAGGTCAAATTAATATATTTTTTTTAATTAAATTGATTAGCTCTATTGTTTTAGTTAAATTATAAATATAATATAATAATAATTATATGAACCGACATATATTTTAAGTAAAAGCAATGGCGACGTATAGAAATGATTAAAAATGATTCAAATTGAATACAATTTGACGTTATAAATTTAACAATGTAATAATATGTAGAATTATCAATTGAATAAATTTTCTCTAGTGATCCAATTAATCGAACTATTTTCAGAGTCAAAATATTTCCACTACAATACGACGCAATTCGATCGATACTTAATGAGGAATTACTTATGAGGAATTATAAAAAAAAGATTACCATTCTACCGTCCGCTTCGCTCTTTCTAAGCAAATAACTGCCACAGGGGTTATACGACCTCACGGCTTCTGGCCTCGTGAGAGTTACGAGGCGTTTTATCGAAGGCAGAGATACGGTTAACCCAATTAAAATGTTTAATCGACGTTCCCCCTTCCCTTGCTTATCGTGCATATCACCACAAAATATGATGACAAATTGAATCGACGCAGCACGCGCGTAACGGAAGAGAGTAAGATGGATTTCACGAAATCAACAGATAATGATACCGTACACATGTTTATACCATCGACAGCTGCTCCTCACGTGACACACGCATACGGATGTCTCTTTAACAGTTATTGAATAATTATCAATTCTCTTTATTTTATTTTATTCTGCCGGATTGATAATCGATGTGGTCGAAGTCAAACGTCGAACTCGCGCGACAGCAACATTCAAATCACCGTGTATTGATCATACAATAATTGTGAACGAATATAGGGAGACTGAAAAAAAAACCGTCAAAGAGAAGTGCCAGTCAAACAAAGAGGAATTTAATAAATCTAGGAAACGATACATTCGCTCGCAGAAGCGCATTTTTTTTTAAACTCACGTTGTCGAAGCTTGAAGCGCTTTTGTGAAGTGATTTTCAAAATTATTTATATTTATATACACGGTGTTTCTCTCTCATAACATGTGGGCATAATTTCAGAAATAACACAAAAATGACAAAAAATTTATACAAACATACGTATTATCTGATCTTATATTTCCGAATTATGTATAGATTTTATGATTCATTAATTCTCATTATAAACCGAGCTAGGATAAAATCTTGATATATTTCTGTCTTTAATTAATAGTAATACTTTAACTTAAATTAAAATACTTTAACTTAAATTGATAGTAAATATCTAGGTAGAATCAGCTACGCCAATAAGTTCACAGGTTGAACAAATGTTTATTCTGAATTTGTTATATTATTTTTATGTCCTAAATTCATTTCTGAAGCCCACATAAAACATCCTGTATATAAGGCCCAT